GTTTGCATGACAAGTTTCGGTTTCTCCTAGATGTCGATGGACTGTTTTGTTGTTTGGACAATGAACTAATACAGAAGTGGTAAAATGTGTGCGAAATTTAGAGTTCTGATATTGATGGGCAACAGTTAAATAAAGAGATTTTAGATTACACAATGCTGCTCTCAGCTCGTACTAACATAAATATGATACCACCTGAAGAACTTCTCAAGTTTACTATCCAGTCTAGAGATGACTTTTTTTATTTAAAATCTTCGCATTTCTTTTTTGATAACGCTAACCATTGCAGTTGTCATTGTCAGCTGGTAAAGTCTTTCAGGAATATGAGACTAATTCTTGATTAAAGCGCATACTTTAAGGGCATCTGTGAGATAAGGCAAACTTTGTGATCCTGCTCCCACTCAGCATAGAAAGAGAAGCGATTGAGAAAACTGACTGAGCACATTGGAGACAAGCTCACATCACTGTTAGTTGCGTATCCTTTACAGGACGTTGCAGAAACAACCCTAACAGCCCCTGGCTGTTGTGTGGTTTCTCTAGGCAATTTACACCCAGTAGTTTCGGCTCACATCACTAAAACAGGACGTTGCAAGAAACCCTATGCATTGTTGTAATTGTAATCATCCAGTAGCCCATGAAGCAAGAAATGTCATGTAATTGTTACTCTAAGATGTCATGTTTTGTCACTCTAACCTGCTAGCTTAATTTGATATGAAAAGAAATTTAACCAATAATAATAAAAGTTTATTACTCATAATTAATCTGAACATAAGAAACAGTGGAACAAGTAATGAACTCAGGTTCAGCTCCAATCAATCAATCAATCATTAATCTTTGACCACTTTCAGCTAGGTCAGATTGCATTGCTGCTCTCTTTCCTGTCTGCTATATTTGTGGTGACGTTTTCTGGTCTTCATCTCATCTTGTTTTGGGTTGTGCTTTCAGTGTTTGTCGCTTGATATTTGTTGGGGTTTTCCGCTCGATTGTCTGCTTTCGTAACTTGGCTTGCCTTCTGCTGCGCTCCAGATCATGGGATGTTGAGTCGATTTTGTGTGGATTTCATTGGCCGTTTGCTGTTTCCGAGGAGAGGGGATTGCCTATCCTAAGAAGGACTGGCGGTTGCTTGCTTTGGCAGGTATTGAAGGAAATAATGGTGGGGTATGGTTTTATTTCGGTGGTCTTCTCGTGTCCTTGTTGTAAAGTGCTTCTCCTACATAGGGTTTAGGCAGTTTTGGTGTTGGTGGCGTCGTCTCTGGTATTAATGTTTGTGGTGACGGTATCGACCTTGTTTGACTTCAGGTTTTGGCGGTCGGAACGGTTCTTCTGGTGATGACCATGGTACATCATCCTCTGGCAATTCTGGGTTAAAGTAGTTCAGATTCTCCAGCTCCCTAATGCGTTGATTTATTTCCGCCCAACTACACACTTTTGAGTGATGAAGCCGGGCCAGGACACTGACTGGACGTTCATTTAAGCGTGTTAACCTTTGAGACAAGAGAGTTTAAGTGGCAGGGATGTCAGTTTATTGCGACGTTTTATTGTCTCGACATCTTAACCGGCGACCACGCGAGATCTATGTTACTGAATGTAAGCGGTTTTAACGACCCCATAACATCTATAACAGGTCCTAAGCCCAACCCCTTACCTCACACACTAAACCTAAGTACCACGAGACAGTGCATTCTACACCCCTCTGACGTAGTCCAGCCTGACCAAGCATCTATGAAAGTTTCACCTAGTGTGTAACTGGGAGGGGCTGGGCCTGAGTTTGCTACCTGTTCCGAAACAGTTTTTGTTAAAAAAATTAAGTTAAGGCACTCATCGTCATCTTCATCATCATGTGCCCTACCAACTGGCGTTGACGCTCATGATTCTCCATGTATATATATACTGGATCCAGAAACCATGGGCAGTAAACCCTTTGGCCCGGTACTATGGATAACGCAACCCTTGGGCCTTGATTCTATTTTAGATACCGTAAATCTTAGAAATATGTGGCTTCTCAGTCCAAGCGTGAGCTCGGACCACAAGGAGTTTGTCACCCGATCGCCACGCAGCTGTTTTAACCAACTTAGCTAGCGCGCCTGGCGAATCATGTAACTAGAGTTGCTGTTTAATCCGAAAAAAAAAAAAATGCTCAAACTGCTTATATCTGATATCATTATCGTTTGGTCTTGAGTGGTTAATTTGGCTGCTTTCCTCGTGCATTTAATCTAAATACCTAGATGGTTTGGTCATATGACTGCGATGTAACCGACACACAAAAAAAGACCTGATCCGTAATTCTAGAAATCGTGAAAAGGCAAGGCATGATTGCCTACTCTTGCCGTCACGGCACAAGATGATGAATCAAGCACCAAGCACCGCCTTCTCTAAGCTGAAAACGGCCGTGCTTCAAGTAGCTCTTGCCTTGACAGGGGAGAATACTCTAATAAGAAACTGTGCGTCTGCATGTTCTTCAGAAGGTAAACACGGTGTTTGACAAAGTATCGACACACGGTATTTTATTTGTAAAATAATATGTGTATAAGATTACATTTATTGAAATATTGTTTTAACTATTCTTACTTTTTTTATACTGCTAGTATTAGTTATTTTTTTCTGAAAAGGAGTGATTTTGAACTTCCTAGTTACTAAAAAAGATTTCAATTGAAACACAGCAACGTGAGAAAGTGAAAGACAGTGTAACACAGTGTTAGTGTTAGACTGAGTGACTGAGAATGTGTGTCTTTGTAAGCACTGAAATAATAAATTTAAAAATATTGAGAAATGATTTCGGAAATGTACTGAAAAATGCACAAGACGCAATAATTTAGCGAGTTTAATATTAGTCGGGAAAAAAGAGGTTGAGGTGCTAAACGAAATTCGGCTCTACTGGCAAATTTAACTCTAAGCTAGAAGCTTCGGCCGTTAGTGGGGCTTCTAAGTTAGTCTCTTCGCGCCCTTGCCAAACTAAAATACAAGTCGCTGAAAAAGAATCAAATCACAACAGCAAAATGGCAGTTAGACAGAGAGCTACTTCTCCGACGAAAGTATCAGCGCGGTCGTGTTTCGTTGGATCGTCGGGCTAGTAGAGCGTGAGACTGGCCGTAGCTACTTGGATTTGTAAAATGAGATGCGGCGACATTGGAGAGGATTTATAAAAGATCATTGCTGGGAATGACTATCGTCACTGACGCTTGGCGAGGCTACAGCAACGTCGCAAACTTAAGGCATGGCATCTATCTGCACGAGGTAGTAGTCCACCAGACCACTTCGTCGACGTTGCACAGTACATACACACACAAACAATCGAGGGTCTGTGGATGTTGGTGAAACGGTCAATTCGCCAGCGACTGGGCACCAGCCGCCCGCTAACCTCGTCATATTTACAGAGTTTCAGTGTACTCCCACAAACGTCAGATTGTCGGCCACTATTTCGACCTGTTACGTGAAAATTTCCACATCGAACCAGACCCCTAAACCCTAATAAATAAACCCTTAAAAATAACCCTAACCCCCTACACACAATAAGCAGCCCTACACGCAATGTAGGACGATGAAACACCCTAGCACCCTACACGCACCCATGATAATAGGTAAGTATGTCATTTTGTTTCTTGACTTTTTCCGCCACTTGTTTTGAGTTGTTTTGAGTTTGGCCAAGGGACGTAACTCCCACGAAGCCCCACTAAGCCGGCCGAAGCAGTCCAGCTTACCGGCCAAATTTGCCAGTAGAGCCCGAAATTCTATATTTTTAGTAGTGACCCCATGATCTATCATCAGCTGAAGTTAACTAATAACTTTACCCGCTGTCTCTTCCAAATGACGACAGTGTTTCGCTGCAGGAACAAATGATTTTGAATAATTACGAAGTATTTCTGGTTTCAGCTTCATAGCAAACGGGTCACCCCATAGTTGCCCAGCTCCAGTGCCAATGTGGAAAGATTGACAAACTGCTGTCTCAGCCATATGCACTAGCATACACATGCATTAAAAGCATACTGTAGCCATCAGAAGTTCTAACACAAACAGTCCGACATTAGAAATGCAGTTGTTAGCAGAAGTCACCAATAGATCAGCAGTCGCACACACGATCAATTTTAATCACATAATGGCACCACCAATATTGCGACAACAGGCATCTGCCATTTTCTGAATCTACAATTCACACCACCACATTAGTCACAGTCCAAAAACATTCCAAAGGAAATCCGCAGCTCACAGTGTCACGCCATGCACTCAGCTCAGAAGCTGGGCGCCGAAACTATATCCTTTCAGTCTACAAATGGAACCAGTGCCTTTATATACCAACTGACACCATTGTTAGGACATACAAACATAAGCATGAACGCCAAGAAACAGATTAAAACAGCATATTCATACCAACACTGTGTTATCAGTGCCAGACTTGGACATTATCAAAGGCTAACTTATGTAAAATTAACACCTGCAAAATTAGATACCTGAGAAAAAAACCACCAACATAACCATCCAAGACAAAGTTAGAAATGATATTATCGGACAGACTGTAGGAAAAACACCAAGCAGCAAATTCATTGAGAAAACAGATCAGATGATTTGGTCATTTAGTAAGAATGCAGCTAGAACAACTACCAACACAGGCTCTTCACGTGAGAAGATCTGAAGTCAAAGCAAGAGACTGCCCTAGGAGAATATGGATTGATGAGACTAAATAGGTTCTACATCGATATGGAATGACAGTAGTCATTGCTGCCCATCAAGTAATGGATCACGAACTGTCCTGTCCCACAATGCTTAACAGTTGAAGTGAAAATTGATGATGATGATGGCTGTAGTATGCAGCACAGTATGTCAGGCAATAAATTGTGCAGTCTTTTTGTTTGTATCTTCTTTGTGTAAATTGTTACTTTTGCCTTGCACATGCAAGCTTGCACCTTCACACTAAGTCTGAGATGTTATATTTTATTGCAGTTGCAACTATTGAAGATAACACAAGATACATTGATTGCTTTTAAAACAGCTTGCTAGTAGTCAGACAGATGGCACCCAAGGAGAAGAAACCAGTTGAAGTTGTGGTTTTTGAGAATCCACAGAAGAGAAAAGCATCCAGAAAGCCTTACCTCAAGCAGGATAAACGCAAGAAGGTTAGCTCTTCAGAATCTGTCTATCTGTATTTTTAAATTGTGTCATCTCCGTAATGGAGGTTGGCTATAGGGTATCCACTGCCAAATATGGGAATATAATGTGTGGACACCCCACCTTCTTTCCTGATGTGACTCATACTACAGCCTGAAAACTGTAAGAACATTCTTTGCCTAGACCACCCAGTGAAGAAATTGAACTTTGGTAAATGTCAAAGGCATCATTATGTAATGTTTTTACTATCCTAATAGCCATGGAGCTGCACAAACCTTGTCATATATTATGTCTGGGGATATTTTTTCCAGTGTGTGCAGGAGTGTGGGGCAATGACCAGGCAGATAGATTGGCTAGTTCTGCACCAATGGGTGGTGAATTTATGCATTATAAGCTAAATGTGATCAAGATCCTGTAAGAGCAAATAAGCAGTGTTGAAGGTACGAATTGATCATGGTCTGGAGAGAATGATACAGCTGATAGTGATGTGGTTGACTCTCTACACTTAGAGGAAAGGTAAGAAGGTCAAATAATCAAACTGTTGCTGGCACTGTTAGAATTGGAACTCTTCTCTGGCTGCTGAAGATCAGGACAGAGTGTTTATGGGAATGTCCTTGATGCTGTAATGTCAGTTCTTGGCTCAACAGCACTCAGCCCACACAGACCTTGTCACATGTTATCTAATGGCAGTAGAGAAGCAGTTTGTGAGAAAAAGGCAACAACTGGACACACATGCAAATAAATGGAGACAGGTTAAATCTTTAATTTGATTCGACAAGTTAAATGTACAGAGTGGACATTTTTGGCATGTTATGCTGGTCGAGCGGTTAAGAATGTTAAGCTGTTATTTGGTAGACCTGGTTTCAGATCTTCAGTAAGGTAATGGATTTTTTCTGTTAGGGACAGAAATAAAATCCTAATCTCCACAGTCCATAGTGATTGCACTAATCATGGTGATTGCACTAACCATGGTGATTGCACTAATTATGGTGATTGTACTAATCATGGTGATTGCACTAATCATGGTGATTGCACTAATCATGGTGATTGCACTAACCATGGTAATTTCACTAACCATGGTGACTGCAGCAGCCATAAATCCACAGGCTCTTTACCCCCTGTCCCACACTGCTCTAAAAAGTGGTAATACAGTTAGTCATCACCATCAAGTGCCTTGCTGACTGGCGTGGGTGATCATGCCTCTCCACAATCTGTGATCTGCAACCGGTTGTATCAGTTCGTGTGTTGACACCCCTTTATGTCAAGATAAAAGACTCAAGAATCTTTTCATGTTGTCTTCCTCTGTCTGTTTTCCACAGATCCTTCCAGTGGTCACAAGATGTTCAATTTTCCTTCTTCTCATAACTTGACCAAAAAATGACGACTGTCTCTTTCTGATGTTTGTGATAAGTTGTCTTCAAGCACTCACCTTTTTTTCAAAACATCTGGGTTGCTCTTCTTAGCTGTCCAGGAAATTCTAAGGATTCTTCTGTAAAACCACATCTCCTAGGTCTCAAGACATCGTTCGGTTTGTTTATTAATTGTCCAGGCTTCACAACGGTATGTTAAAACTAGCTGTTACAAACAGTTAGTAGAAGTCTTGTTTGCATGTAACTAATATTTTTGTATATCATGTTGTTTTTGTGTGTGGCGTTAATGCCCAGACGCTCAGGTATAGGGGATAGTTAGGTTCAGGGCCGCAGGGCTGGTAGGGTTAATAAGAAGGAAGTCTCACACAAGCAGAAGTCACAATCAGAGGTGTGTGTGCTGGGGGGAACAAAACTGGAATGGGCTAGCAGACCTGTGTAAGGTTCAAATGACTCTTTGCCAGATACATTTGAAAGCATTGTTTCTCTATCCTCAGTTTAAAAAGACAGAAGAAGAAGAAGAAGAAAACCCCTCTAAACCACGGGCATTCTTTGACCAAAAGAAGTTCCGATATGATGTGAGGAAGCTGGGAATTCATGGCTTTGACAAAAAGGACAAGGAGACAGCTATGGTAGATTTTCTTGTAGAACTGGGAGCAAAGGTCAGTATCATTACTATTGGGTAATCATTTCTTCTTATGATTTTGCTGTTGAAAGGGTGGTTGGCATGTTGTTTTGTGGTGTACAGCTAAACTGTGATATCTGCACTTTTCGGCCCAACACATCAGATTTCAACAAAGCCCTAATTTGTCACCCTTTTGACTTCTTTTTTCTTCTTTCATCCTGCATTACAGAGAGGAGTGATATGATGTTTCCTGTCCTTTGCTGGTTGCATAGCTTGTGTTAATGTTATATTGCTTTTCTGTAGTGTCTCTTTTACTCCCTCTATCCATGTCTTTCTTGGTCAGCCTCTTGCTTGTAGCTTGCTTTTTTTCATGTAGTACGCTGTGACCAGATGACAAGACCATTTCTTTGACATCATTCACCAGTTTTGTACTTACTGTTACCTTTTATAACATGCCTGTTAAATGGGCAGTGATTCTATTTATTCTTTTTCCTCAAAGTGGAGGATGGAACTTAAACGAGGAAGGCAAGGTAACCATTGTGTTACACACAATTACTTTCCACATTTCTTTGTACTCGTGTAAGAGTAATGCCTGGACAACCACTGGTATCCGTAATTTCAAGACAAATATCTGGACAACCACTGGTATTAGTAATTCTAAAAGAAATAGTTGGACAACCAATGGTATCCTTAATTTCAAGAGAAATAGCTGGACAACCACTGTCGCCCTAGAAAGCTGTTGTCCTAGTCCACTCATATCGTTATTCCCATCTCTGAATTTCATGCACCAATCGCTCACAACATCACCATATACATGACACAGTTGACATTGAATCTCTGCAGCATTTTGACCCTCTGCTTAAAGAAGATGAATGACATCATGATTTCCCAGCTGGCAGGAAAAGCATTAACAGCATCCTTGTTTATTAATTCCTGAACCACTGAACAAATGCTACTGTGGGTTGATGTGCAGTGAGTTAAAAGACTACTGAATGATATAAGCAATGAACGGTACCGTTATGGCTAATGGTTTATTTTTACCAGCCATTTGGGATAGCTCTCATATTAACATTTTTCTCTTCTTCTTTCACGTTCACTGGCTGTAAACTTCACTGAAAAGTTCTGGTTGTTTGTCCACATCCAGACTGTAGTATTGTTCCAGAATTTGAGTTTTGTGTGCACATCAGTTCTACAGATGTCATTTATTTATATGATGGCAGTGGCTTTGAAGGAAGCTCCCATACTTAGCCGACTCTTATGTCATGCTTGTTAGGGTGTCGTTGGTCTAATATCTCCCCCCCCCCCCCCCCCACCACATAATAGGGCTCCTTAACCCACATGATTAATCATTTTTATTATTGTTGTAGTATATCTGCAGACAGTATATTATTAAATATTTTTTTTCCTGCAGCCACCAAAGAATAAATGTTATCCCATCCAAGAATATCAGAAAATTATGAAGGAGAAAAAGGATGAAGAAAAGAGAATGGAAGAATTAGAAAGAAAAGCTGGTATTAAGAAGAAGAAACCAAGAACAAAAAAGTAAGTACACAAGACGCAGGGAAGGCAGTTAAGTTTCTTTCAGCTTTCCTCATCTAAATTAGTTAGTTAGTTGCGTATCCTTTACAGGACGTTGCAGAACCAACCCCAACAGCCCCTGGCTGCTGTGTGGGTTTTTTTAGGCAAATTTACGTCCAGTAGTTTGCCATTGCTTTCTGGACAGTTGGCTTTCTTGATACCACTCGAAACCAGCGCAAGGCGCATGGCCCGCAGTTGGGATCGAACCTGGCATCCCGGCATTACGAAAACTTCGCATCGACTTAGCCACAGAGCCAACTCATCTAAATTACTCAGAATATATTATGAAACTGTTAAGCAGACCACTTTCCATTAATGTTGACAAATGTATGAGAGGTGACCGTTCAGTAACACTTGTAAACAAATAAAAGTAAAAATACGTAGAAAACCATACAGCAGCAAACGCACGATAAGCTAAAGGCCTTTGAACTTCTTATAGTCCATGCTTTGTGGCATTGGTAGTCATGTCTATCCACAATCTTTCAGCTCATTTACTTTCACAGGTGATCTGCCATGTTGTCCAATATTTTCTCTTTCTGTCTCCCTCTGCCTCTTTTCCCCTCCCGTTTTCTGACCGTTAGGATGCATTCTAGTTTTCTTCTTCTCATGACTTTATCAGAGAATGTAGATTATCTCCTTCTGGTATAAAAGCCCTTTAGGAGCAAGCAAATAGATATTAATGGTCTGTTAAGTGGTTGAAAGCGGAGTGGCCAGATGATCTGACCGACATTCTAATCTCAGAGGAAAGGTAAGGCGTATATATAATCAAACTGCTGGTACCGTCACCAGTGGAGTTCTTCATCGGCTGCTGCTTATTCCTTTGAAGTTGGAGTAAGTCTGCTTGAGAAGCAGGGAACAACCAGGTGACACAAAGGAGCCAATAAACAGGATGTACACACACAAATCTGATCCTGGCACCAAGTCCGAATGGAGGCACAACCATAATTGTCTGCTGAAATTCACAACCGGTAAATGAAGACAGAGTGCTTATGGAAATGTCTTCAATGCTGTGTGATGCCAGTTCTTAACTAATCTCCTAAAAGCAGCAAAACAATCATAGATCAAACATGTGGTATGATTGTTAGAGCACTTGCCCACTGAGACACTGGTCCTAGTTCAATCCTCAGAGATGGCAGGAAATTCTCTAACCATTGAGGTTCTGGAGTTGACCGAGCCTCATTAAACTGGGTACCAGATAATTTCCAGAATTGTCTTTGTCGAGAAAGGGAATTGGCCGCACCGCCTCAAATCTCATGGCTAAGTGTGTGAAAGCCTAACACTTCACACCCATGGAAACCCTGGAGGGAAAAACACGGAACCCAGGATCCCTTTACACAAAATAAAAATCTTTAGAAAATGGCTATTTGACATGTCACTAAATATTTTTTAAACATTTGCTTATATAATTAACAATTTAGGAATAAATGAGAAGAGTAATCAGTAAATGGGAATAAGGGGAAGAATTACATAAATACATTTCCTTAGTCCCAAACAAATGTAGGTGTTGATTGAAACAGTGACCCGATCACCGTGGGGCTGATAAAGAATGAATGCAATATATGGCACTCTTTTTCCCCCTACAGTGAAAACCCCTGCATGCTATTTTTAGTAAATATAATCATATCTTGCCTTTCTAAACAGTATGTAGACACAAACAGAATCATCTTGATAAAAGACAGAGAGGATAGGCCAGTGCCGTAAAGCTGAATCATTTAATGCTTGTGGGTTTGTAAAGGGGGTTTGGAGGGTAAAGCGGCAATATTGGCTTCTTTTCTTTTTGCACAGGGCGTAGCCATTAATTATCAGCTTTGTCAGTCACTCAGGTTACGTTGACTCTTCCTTCACCTTGAATACCAAGCATTGTCTAATGTGTTATGTTTTTATTAACATTGAGTCAGGGCACACTAAAGAAGGCCATCTGTATTATGTTTTTGTCCTCTTTGAAATGAATGAAGTCATTTTTTTTTGACTGTTCTCTCTCTCCTTTTCACTCTCTACCTCTGCTTTGGTCTTTCTCCCCCACCCTCTTGTAATTGGCACTCTTTCTTCTACGCGTACATCAAGTTACCATATGATTTCTTGATGGGTCAGCTTCTTGATCTCAGTCTGGACATCTCAACCAATAACTATACACCTGGTCTGCCGCAAGGCTCACCTTTATTCCCAGTGCTTTTCAACATTTTCAGCCATGAAATTTGCCTCTTCTGGCCAGCGGAGGCATGGCAAGTGGCTCGTGTGTCATTGCCTGTTGTATTAATAATCTTTCTATGCTTGGGTTCTGGCCCGTGACAATCCCCATTTTTCCTGAATAAACTTAGTTGAATAGCTCTTCTTTACAGCCTGTCAGAATGTGTTCTCATACAGTTATGCAGTCTGTTATTTGTGTCTTCCTTAGTCAGGTTGGAAACATGCTCTAATGTGTTTCCCTGTTGAATTATGTGATTTCCCCACTCCTTTATTTTACACTCTTGCCTTTGAAATTGATCTTTTAATGTTTTTGTGTTTTTTTATTTTTCATTGCAGAGATAAGTCCAGAGATGATATTCTCGGCCATGTGGATGGCCAGGTTGGCTTTTACAAAGAAGGTGTACAGTTTGTCAAGAAACATAAATGATTGCTTTTGGGAGCTTTCTGTTGTACATAAATTTTGTATATGTTTGCACTAGTGGCGCTCATGGCTTTTTTTCTGATGGTATGCAGTCCGGGAACCTTTTTTGGGCATCATTTTCCTTTTCTTTGGCACAACTTTATTATGAGGGGGCCGTCGTGGTGTAGCCGCTAGACATTCACCTGCTGATCAGAGGGCATGAATTCAGATCCTTGCAGAGCCAAATTTTAAAACAAAATGACCTTGATTTCTAGGTCGACTTAAAAATGGGTGTTGGGTACAGTCCTATGAAGTACAGGCGGCCAGCACAATTGTTACCACATCATCTGCAGAGCGCCAGTTGGTCTATACAATTTAGGTCTAGCCCTCTATGCCCATTATGCCTGAGACTTGGAAAAGAGTCTTTTACTGTATAACAGACAATTTGTGGTGCAGATTGTCACCTTTTATTAGACACACTGTGCCGAGTACCGTCACAATGTCCAGAAGAAAATGCTCTGGTTGTGCAGTTGTATCATGTGACTGTTTCCAAAGAATGTTAGCATCATCATGTTTTTGCTGCTATAGGTCACACAGGGCCTACAGTTTGTGCCTCTATTTTGTTATGTCCTGTGTAGTCACTTCAGTGTCTTGGAATGGAATCAAGTCTACTTCTTTGGCCTCTCTCTTTGTTCTTCTTAGGGTTATGTTAGTATCACCTGAACAGATATGGGTAGGTTCAGACTTTTGTGTTTGTATGAGAGAGAGAGTAAGAGAGGGTTTTTTTAAGAAGCTCTTTGAATTGAAGGGAAAGATGCACACATATACAACCATATATTTTTACCAATCTTTGTCAATCAATAAAACAGCATGAATCCTACATGTACATACCGAATGGGAAAACAGTTAACCCATATCATTCTTCATATGGAATTATTTAATCTTTCTTCCGTCTTGCGTGTTTTTTTAGTAGGTGGAAAAGGGAGTGGTGGGAAAAAATGAAGTATTTGATAAGACATACTAGGTCCTTATATGGTTGGTTCAAATATGTTGACGCAAGACATACTGGGTCATTATTTTTAAGTTTAAGGCAATGTAGTAAAAAGTAAAGGTCCCTTTTCCACGCCTTCAGGCTATTGGGCATATAGGGCTAGACCTATCGGCACTAGGTGGGTGATGTGTTCAGCATCATGTCAGCCGCCTTTACTTCCCAGGACTATAGAGTAATATAAAGTTAATTGCGTATCCTTTACAGGATGTTGCAGAACCAATCGTAGCATTTTTTTGGCTGTTGTGGTTTTTCCAGGCAAATTTACGTCCAGTAAAACCAACGCAAGGCCTGCAGCTGGAATCGAACCCAGCACTACGAAGCTCGTTTGCAGTGTTTAAGCCACAGACGTCGACAATATACTGCTCATTTAGGCATTGATTCTCATATCTTGTTTCAGAGCAGTGAAATGTCACTTGACTAATGATTTCATTTTGTGTGGACAGTTATGTATAAATGTGTTTCTGTATAAATGTAGTCTGCATAAAAATAAAATTGCAGCTATGCTTGTTTTGATGAATTTATTTCTGAGTTCTGTTGTGTTTGAAAACTGATTTATATAATGCAAGCACGGCATCAAATGCCTTGATGACTGACATCAACGAATTTGCCTCTCAGCAGGTTGCACTTTCCAGCTGTATACATTAGTTTGTATGTTGACCCCCTTCCACACCATGACAAAAAACCATCAAGAATTTTCTTTTGTCTTCCTCTGTCTCTCTTTCCACTCCTCTTTTCAGTCACATGTTTCAGTTCTTCTTCTCATAACGTGGTCAAAGAAATGGTGATGGCTTTCTGAATTTTAAAGTGGGTCCATAGACACTGGGTTAAGATATAATAATAATGTGTTGTGACCCACTTTATAATCGTGGGCACATGCAGTTCCTGGTGTTAGGGTCATCACTTCTCGAATCTTAATGGGCATTTTATTAACATGAAGAGTTACTACAATAATTTAGTTCTGCACTGTTTATTAGCGGTAGTGCTTAGTTTACTAAAACACACTTTCTCCTCGACTACATTGTCATTTTACTCGAGTTCAGTCGCCCACTTTTCTCATATATCTCACTGTCTCTTCCCCCCCCCCTTCTTTCACCAACTTGCTTTTAAGCGACTGTTTCTGGTTTCTGTCCAACCTCCCCATGTCCACCTCCCGACCTCCCCTCGTGTCAACATCCCTGTGATTCTCCTCTATCATCATTATTGGGGTCACCCCATAACCTGTCTTCATTACAGCTAAGTTGAATCCTTCATGGTTGATTGCATTTCCATCATTCAAGTGAAGTCCATTTTTAACATACTTGCACAAGGCTATTGAACTGGCGGCCAATCTGGCTCAAGAAGGCCTAGTAGTTGGTTGGCTGATCATGGCTGGTTGTATTGTTTTAATGATCTTTCAATGCTAGGGCTCCGGTCTCTGGCCTGTGATGATCCCCCTCTTCAAAGTTTTGGCGCCTGGGTAAACTTAGTTGAATAGCCATGTAATAGCATCATGGTAGTAAGTGAAATTTTTCCTTTGGCTAACTGTCACATTTGGAAAGATGAGCCATAGTAACTCAGATGATTTACGAAGGACATATTTCTATGTTCTGTGCCATATGGTGATATTATGTACTTGAATGAATAAATCAAGAATAGACATCACTGCACTCGGGACATTCCCACATGTGATCTGTTCCCTTATTCAGCAGCCAAAGAAGAGCCAACATGCAGGTAGTTCCAGTACTGGATATCTTCCAGGACCTGTACTTACTCCCGTGGAGTTATGCGGTATACATATAACATTGGAGGTTTAGGTGATGATAATGATAAACCAAACAACATCCTTAGGCCACAGCTCAGATATAAACATAATTTAATTACATTCAAACAAAAAAATAATATCTGATGAAAAAAGTGTATGTTCTTAAACTGGTTTTCTCCCCCTGATAGGTTCCAGGGTTTCATTTTGGGGAACAAAAGCAAATACACGCACTGGCCCCTAACAAGCAAGACACAGGAGGAGACTGATTAGCAGTTTTTCCTTTAAAGTCGGAGTGCATCTGCCTGAGAGGCAAGGAACCACCAATCTGCATATAAAAATAAGTCAGATATGTAAAACAGATGTGCATGCACAAACTTAAATTCGGGATCAAGACCAAAGTCTAGAAGTGGACAAACAACCAAGACTTTCCATTGGAGTTTACAGCTGGTGAACATGAAGAATAAGAAGGGGAAAAACCTCTAGTTTCTAAACAAAACAAAAATCTGATGATGATAATGTACTGTAGTGTGAACTTAGTCTTTGGGTTCAGGGGAAGGGGGTGGAGGTGCTGGAGATTCTGCTGTAGCCCTATCATCATCCAGACTGGGTCCATCTGTAGCCCTATCATCATCCAGACTGGGTCCATCTGTAGCCCTATCATCATCCAGACTGGGTTTCTTCCTGTCAGCAGCAGGTTCTCCTTCAGTGTGTCTTCTAGCTGTAGTGCACTTTAGGTCAGACCTGTGACAAGAACATGAGGTTTATGTCTTCTATCAGCCAGCAATAACACAGGCTACTCAATTTACTACACATAACAACATAAACCTTATCCATCACACACTGCTCAGATTACTGCATATATATCAATATATATGACTGCAAAAATCTCAACACATAGTCAGGTTTTCTTTGTGAGATTCATACAAGACGTGTCAAGACTAACTCACCCAAACCGGACTACTGGTTACTTTGTAACCACTAGGTCTGATGTATCTTATATAGTTGGAAAGGGTTTCTACAATTTGCTCCTTGAATTACTATGTGAAAGTTACAAAGATACAGTTTTGTAAAAGAATGCTAAAAACATCATGGGCAGATTAAAAACAATGTAATGAAGATGTGCTGAAAGAAATAACTCATGAATAAAATGGATTACTCCCATCGGAAGCAGTAAATCCACGTAATGGATTTTCTGCTTATAATCTGTTGAATTAAGAATCGACATCACAACACTCAGGACACTCCAATAAGTGATCCTTTCCCATTTTCAGCAGCAAGCGAAGAGTTTCAATTACGATCACATCAGTAACCCTCTGATTGTATATCCATCTCATCCTTCCCCTGAGATTTCAGCGTCGGCCAGATCCCATGGTAACTTCTGTCAGCGGCATTCTCCTCAGACCATAATGATCCATCTGCATCTCTGCACCGTTCACTTGTTCCCAAGGGACCCTCACAATATCTAGCTTGTCATACATCAGTTCACCACCAAGTGGTGCAGAGCTGGCCAGTCTATCTGCCTGCTCAATTGACAACACACCGGTATGACCTGGAGAAAATATACAAAGGATGCTAACTACCCAGGACCTCTGAAGTGATGCTTGCCACTCTGCACGAAGCATGCTGTCTTCACCTTTCTCAACTTGCTCTGTGAGTCAGTTACAATCACGGCATGTGTGTACAGCTGATTCTCAAGCCAGCAGAAGGCGGCAGTGACTGCCTCCACTTCCATTCTCAAACTAGACGTATTATCATATGCTAGGCTTTGCTGCACTAAGTGACGTCCATTCACCTTTGCTATGAACCCCTATGCACTTCATCTGCCCCTCAACACAGAGCCATCTGTATAGATAATCACATCACCTGGGCGGGAATTGTCATAAATCATTTGTTGAGCTTCTGATTCTGCAGCACCAGCTGGTCAGCCTCTGCACTCACGGCCTAAAGTAATTAGAACCCTACACAAGTCTGAAACTTGTTCGGACACCTTGACCCACTCCTCTCCTCGCTCAAATTTATCAAGCCTGCACACATCTCCAATTGTGTCTTCAGCTTGCGCCATTCAAGACCTTCCTCTTTTCAGTCTGTGATCCTTAGCTCTATCCAAGGTTTCATGCAGGAGGTACTTCTTGTCTACAGCTACTCTGAGATCTGACTTTGCCTGAGAACTTTGAGCCTATCTTCAATAGCAGGCAGTGCAAGTATATATTGCATACATACTACCAGGGTATCTCT